TGAATTCCACCCTAATATTCTTGACAGATTAAGAGAGAAGATATATATATATATTCTCTATATATTATTGCACAACACTATGTAGTTCAGCCCAGGAAACTATTCATTTCCTGCTAAATTTAAACTTAATGTCTGGGTACAAGATTTACATAATCCCATACGAGGGCAAGAAAGAAGAATATTTTTTAAGAACCATTGTTCTCAGCTTGAGAAAGATGCTGATTTCCAGTGCAACCAAATCCTAAGGTAAGAGAAAATTATGCTTTACACAGAATTTGATAGGTGTCACCACAAAAGGGGGCTGCTTAGAAATGGTCTTGTCTATCTAAGGAACTCATTATGTTCCAACCTCTGGTATGAACATGAGACTTAAAGTGTATAAGGATGATGGCAAAATGAGTTAGAACTGTAAAACCAGAAAAGGGAACATGAGGTTAGTCACTGTAAGACAGAGGGGTGAAAATGTATTGCGAGATCGATGTGGAAGATAATTAAATCACCATCACCAGAAATTTTTAAAGCTAGATTGAAATGCTAATGGATTTACAATATAGAATATTCACATCTATAAAACCTATCATCATAGGAATGGCTTAGCTGGCAAGGATGTGAGAGACCCCTGCCCATCCCCACACTTTATGTTGTGGCTGAAGTACATGTATGAGATTCAGTAAAAAAAAAACAACACAAAAACAACTGGCTGCTGTCAAATATATTCTGCTGAGGCAAACCATATGTGGCTGCAGTGCGATGTAGCAATGAACTAGTAAAACAAAAACTAGAGCGATATATGCTAAGTTTCCACCAGTATGAGAAGTGTGCAATTAAAACAGCAAAGAGGTGACATAATTATTTTGATTGTTCATGGCAGATATAACTAGGAAAATAGGATAAAAGAAATGTTAAGATTGAATAAAAGAACTCAGGAGTATAGCACACGAGGAAAATCCCCCAAACCCATTATCTAAAACTAGTCTTGACAGAGTTGGAGAAAGTCCTGTAGACTGTAAGTGTGCTACATTGACAGGAAGACAAGAGTGGTTGATTAAAAATGTCTCAGTTCTCTAATATCAAAAACTGAATCCATGTGTAATCACATCAGTAACAAGGGGCAAAGAAGGACTAGAAGAAACAGGAAAATCAATGAGTGGAAGGAGGTGGAATGAACAGTGATTTCAGATCCCTGAAATACTGAATTTTCTTTTTAAATTTTCCTGTCACAGATCATAGAAACCAAACCTGAATAAAGTAAAGTAAAGAAGGCCTTCTAAAAAGAACCCCTGACAAAGACCAGGTAAGAGAAAATGTGGAGAGACAGGCAGGGTGGGAAGAGGAGGTGGGCTACACACATTTTAAAGGGATCAGGGGAATTAGCTAAGCATATTAAACATCTGGCAATTATTTTTCTAAACATTATGGATAATGAGGGAGCCAGCAGTAAGCTGGAGGAAATACAAATCCCATAACTAGCCCATTCTTACGCCATCCCACCTTGTTCACCTTATCTTGGGCACTTTTTAGAATGTAAGTCCTATTGACTCTTGGTGGGTCTTAGGCAATATCTAACCCACAATGGTGTGGACACACATACATCTGGAGCTGCTGGGAAAGGGGAATGTTTCAGAAAGGCAGTAGATGCATCAACAGATTAACAGAGAATTGAACTGAGGATCATGCATAGGTGCTTAATAGGTAATTAGTGCTGAAAAGTCCTACATAAAAAATGAAATACTTTCTAATTACGTGTATTATATTCGGTCCTACTGGTATTCACCCTAACAATCCTTTTAAATACTCTTCCGTCTAAAAATTTTGGTTTAAATACATAACATTTTTAAAGTCTTAACTGCCTGCAACTATAGTTGACCTTTATCTAGTGGATTCTGTGTCTCAGTCTATTTTGTGCTATTGACAGGAAAACTGAAAAAGATTGGGTTCATGTAATGGTCAGATAGTCTGACCTTTTAGGCTTAAATGCAATGTCAATTATAAAGCCCTCTAATACCACCCTCACATTGCCTCTCCAACTTCTTTTCACAAGCCAAGACTGTTCTAAGTCTCTCTGAGTGCCTATACATGTGCAGTGAGGCTGCTCCAATGCATTGTAATACAGTGTGTCGGAGCACACTTTAGTAATTACCACGCTCCAGCAGACTCCAGAGTCACATGTATTAGAGTCTACACACTGAAAAATGGTGGAGGCAGTTTAACTAAAGGTCAATCAATAAGCTTTAGTTAAAGCACCCCCGCCACCACTTTTCAGCACAGGGATGTTGATAGACAAGACACTCCAGGCACTTTAATTAGAACGGCTCTCGGAGCCGCTCTAATTAAAGCATCCTCCCCGCCACTCCCAAAGTGTAAACACCCTTTCACTTGCATTCAATTGCTTCTCCAGAAAGACCCCAAATCTTTTCCAGTCATTGCTTCTAAGAAAACAATAACTCATTCTGTAAATATGATCTGCATTTTTTGTCTCTGGTTATATGACCTCAAATAGGACTGAATTAAAATGCAAATTGATCAAATGAGCTCATATTATTAGAAAACCCAACTCCCTCTGAATGACTATCCAATCTCAATCACTATTAACCCTTTTACAAATTTTTGGCATCCTCTGAAAATGCTATTGTCCATGATTTCATATTGACAGAGATCACTGATAAAACAATGAACAATGTTGGGCCTGGAGACAAACCCACAAGACTGTGCCGGAAATACATCAGATTGATAAAAGTTTCCTCTCTTTTTGAGATCCATCAGAGGGTCAATGTGTGAATGACTGATCTTTGTAAATAAAAGTTTTTCTTTAAATCAGGAGGTGTGTGCTTTAAGTAAAAAAATCTTACAAATGCTTAAGGGTCATTGAACATAGATAGTATATTTATCAAAACCTGTAATCTCATCAGAAGAATGAAAATCAAATTTGTGTGACTAGACTTATTTCCCATATAGCCATGCAAACTGACAAGAATTATATTACTATTCTTTAACTCCCATAACAGATTTTCCCTTAGTTTGCCCAGGACTGAATTCAGGTTAGTCAGGCAGTTAGGTTCATCAGTCTGTGGTTATTGCTGGTCCTTTTTCAGTACTGATACATCAGCTTTCTTCCACTTTTCTGGAAATGCCTGCTATAGCTCCATTGCAACAAGTGTCTAAATGATGCTGCTTTCTCTCCTGGTTTAGTTCCTTGAATTGGTATCTCTGCCAGTGTATCAAACAGGCTGGAGTCCATGGAATATCACTGAATAGGCAAAAGAGGCATACACCAGCCCAAGGAAGAATCACAGGCAGGGGAGAGGGGGTGTTGCCATAAGTATGCAGAAGCAAGTACATTTTCAAATGAAAGAAACACCTATATGTTACATACAGTTCCCCACAAAATATACAGCTTGGCCTGAGCCTGAACCAGCAATGTATGAATTATTCAGCATTAGTTAAACATATGTCCCTGCTGACATACAGCATCTGGGAAGGAAAACCCAAACCTGCCCTGGTCTTCTAAAACATGCTTTGTTTGGATGAGAAAATAAATTAAACTCTCCAGCCACATCCAGACAAGCAAGCATGTGCCTGTTGCAGCATCTCAAAGCAGTTTAAGACACCACAGGAGGCAAGCTGGGATAAAAATAAGTTCCCTGCACTGCATATTTGCAGCGTAGACTCTAAGTCTGATACCAGGAAATCCCGGTATAAAAAAATAAACACCCTGGAAAAAAGCAGTGCAGAGCGCGCTCCCAGAGTGTGTCCCCAAAACTATCGGAGGCTGGGTCCTCCAAAGAGGTTCTCTAGCATGTGGCCAGGGTATCTCTGAGAGTATCTCTCAGAGTGTCATAGCGTGGCCTGCTGCATGCTGTGCTGCTGCTGTAGCACACTGCCTCAGCATGCTGGAGCAAACAGAAGCAGGGGATGGCTGGCAGCAGTGGCCCAGACCAAGTAAGTAGGGATGTGGGGATGAGGGTCTGTGTGGTTGGGGAGGATTGTGTGGGGGTGGGGAGCACTTTGCAGGGGAGGAGGACTGTGTAGGAGCGGTGGGTACCCTGCCGCCCCCATATAGCACATTCCCCCTCCCCCACAGCAGCAGCAACAAGCTGTCAGGGTGCTGGTTGGTCAGTTTCTGCCATGACCCAGGGCTCCCAGCACTACGCACAGGAGCTGTGCACCATTGGGCCAGGTCAGTTCCTGCCTCCATAGAGCAGGGCCACATGCAGGCAGAAGTTGGCCTGGCCCAATGGCACACAGCTCCTGCATGCAGTGCCACGAGCCCCAGGACTCAGCAGGAGCTGGCCCAGTCCTATGAAGATGCACACCAGTGGACTGGACCAGCTTCATGCACCATGTGTAGCCCCTGGGTCTCAGGCAGTGCTACTTGCCACTGGGGGATTCTGCCTGCAATAAGCTATGAGTCCCCCAACAATCCACTGCTGCCAGGTGGGTGGGCATGTAATGGGCCCTCCCACAACCCTCCCACAAACCCCACATACCCAGTATTGTCAACTCTCATGATTTTTGGCATTTTTCCTAAAGTCTGCACTTTGGGAATGTGAAAAATTTAGCTTTATTTTATATATATAAATATATAACAATGAGCTAAGTTTTTCACATTGCTGAAATGTAGACTTTAAGAACAATGCCAAAAATCATAAGAGTTGGCAATACTGCATACCCACTTACAAACCCTGCACCCACAAACCCCTCACAATCCACTCACAAGCCTCACATCCACAACCCCCCCACCCACATACTCACCCACAAATCCCACCTCCATGAAGCCCCCACAATCCACCCACAAACCTCACAACCCCACACCCCTCACTAAGCTACCACAAACCCCACACACAAATCCCACTCCCACCCCTACATCCACCCACAACACCCCAAACCTCCCCCACACCCCTTCCCCACCCCCCCCACAAATCTCACACTCTGCATGCCCAGCCACCAGATGGGACAAGACCTGCTGGTGGGAGCCATGGCTGCAGGGGCAACTGTCACTGTGCACGCCTGTCGCATATCCACACCAGTGCTCGGACATGTGGTCCTGGCCTGGTGGCCCTCCTGGTCCCAGGAACCACTTGGAGGGTGTGATGGGCTGAGGGATGAAGGTGGCAGCTGAGGTGTGTATGAAAGAGAGATATGGGGTTGGGGGATGGGGAAGTGCTCTGGGTAGAAGCAGCTTCCAGAGCCGAGCTTAGAGCCCCCCTGTCCCCGCTAAAGCAGCCTGTACAGGAGGAGGCCAGCCTAGAAGGGAAGGGGTTGGTCCAGCCCAGTTGAGGACTTCCCAAGAATGGCATGGGGTTACTGGGGCTTGGGCAGAGGCGCAGGGAACAGAACAGTAAGGGCCGGCTGTCCCTACGTCCTGGTGAACGAACTGTGCAGCCATGGCCCACTGGCAGCTGGCCAAGAGGTGCAGGAGGCTCTGCTACAGTGCCCATTCCACAACCCACATAGCCATGTGATGCCCATCTGAGTCTGGCAGGCATGCAGCCATGGGGCTGCAGGACCTAGGGGGCAGATGCTGTTGCAGGTGGCAGCAGGTCACAGCCAGGCAGCATCCCCCACTGACAGACTGCTGCAGTGGGTAGAGAGTTCAGGGGCCACTCTAGATTAGGGCTGCTTCAGCAGTTCAGTTAGCACAAGGGGCTGGTGTCTCCAGATACCAACTAGTCAGGCCTCAGAAACTTGTGAGGGCAAGTAGCCCTGACCTGCTCTCCAGAGCAGCTTTTAATACTGCTGGGGCCAGCATGGGTGCTGGCCCAGCCTCTAGATCCCCTGGCTGAAGATGCAGGAAGAGGTGGGCAAGGTCAGTTTGCCCCAAGTGGTACAATTTGCCCCACACCAAAGTGCATGTTCAGGCACATGTGCTGAGGAACAAATGTCCAGCACAAATTTGTGCTGCTGCTATTTGAGCTGATGCAAACACATGCTGGCAATTTTGACTGAAGGGTATTTCCCCTCCATTCAGGGTCAGACCGATCCCCAAGTTTGGGGTCAGGAAGGAATTTTACCCTATGGTCAGACTGGTATGGACTGTGGGGTTTCTTGCCTTCCTCTGTAGTGGGGACTTGGGCCTCTTCCTGGGATCACTTGAGGACATATTAACAACTTTTACAGAAGCAGGACATTGGCTGTTGTAGTCCCGTGCTTTAGGATGTTAGGGGACAGGTTAGGATGTCATGTCTTCTGTTGTGTCAGGTTAACCATGTAGTTTTGCTAAGAGGTTACATAATGGATTTGCATAGGATGGTTTGGATAGGGATAATCCTGCCTTAGACAGGCTTTTGGACTAGATGACCTATGGAGGTCCCTTCCAGCCCTGCTTCTCTATGGTTCTATGAAAAATCACCTCCCTGTGCAGGTTGTTATAGTCAATTCATAAAGACTTCAGTATTGCATGCCCTGTGGTGTAAAGGCTGGATACAATCTGCTTGCAAGCTAAATTCAGACTTATTTATGTGAGAAGGACTCCTGCTTTAGAGATGCAGTATCAGGCTTTGGGCGTGCACTGCTTAATGCTAATACTGCTTCCTCCACTCCTCATCTACAGCTACAGTAATCAGCAATAAGAGAGAACTTTGCTTGCTCTTCTTCTCCAGCCCTCCTTCCTGTGTCAAAACCACAGAAGACTGTTTTAAATTTTATGGGCACATTTCAAGTAACATTTTTAGGGGAAGAGGAATTCTAAACTTGAAACAGAAGACAAAAGTTTCTAGCCAGAACAGAAAAAAGCTCCAACGTAAGTACAAAACAAGTCATGAACTTCAGAATGGCATAAACAAACTGTTAATGACTAGGTACAAGAGTCCATGTCTACTGAGTATGTGTATCCCAGGATGCCTGTATGTCTAGCCACTTTAGATCTCAGTGTAACTCAAGTAAGTGTAAAGGTTCATCTATACAAGCCCTTTGACTAGCAATGATTTTCCCTTCATCATATGCTTCAATAGAGCATTCATGGTTAGGCAGTTTTGGACTTCTGTTTAGCAGAATATTATATTCCATTATATATTATTGCTCCTTGTTTGCTACAGAAGTTGCAAATAACTTTAAAAAAGAAAAAGAAAAAAAAATGGAAGGATCCAACCTATTAAGATAATGCACATTTTGTGCAGGCCATAGCGACACATCAACTCTCCCCCTCCTCTCCATTTTGTAAAATTTATTTTCCATAAACAGGACTGCTTATATATCTCTGAATGTCAGATTCACAGTAGTTCCTACATGTCACACTCATCAACAATTATATGTAATTCCTGCTACATTGCCTTAGGAAAACAGTTTGCATCTCACCTATTATTGTAATTTTTATACTACTAGATTTACCCTCTCTGATGGCTATTTTTCACCATTTGTAGGAGGTTTTCATAAGAAAATTACTCATCATGACTGATACAATCCTGGATACAACAACTGAGTTTCTCTATGATGAAGACTCTCTTGTTTGTGATAAAGTGGACATCCAAAAGTTTGGAAAAGTATTCTTGCCAGTATTTTACACTATTGTGTTTCTCCTTGGCCTGGTAGGGAATCTCCTTGTGGTTTTTGCCTTCCTAAAGGCTGGCAATAAAAAGAGTACCGCTGACATTTATCTCTTGAACTTAGCCATCTCAGACCTTTTCTTTGTGATCTCTCTTCCATTTTGGGCTTCCTATGTGAGGAAAGGATGGACACTTGGAACTGTTTTCTGCAAACTCATTTCCTCACTCTATTATGTGGGTTTCTTTGGTGGCATGTTTTTTATCACAGTTGTAAGTATAGATAGATATCTGGCTATAGTTCAGGTAACTTTTTCTCTGAAATCCAGAACAATTGGCCATGGCTGTATTATTACTCTTTTTGTGTGGATAGCAGCGGCATTATTCTCAGTGCCACAATTTGTGTTCACTGAAAAGGTAAACAAACAGTGCACTGCTAATTACCCAGAAGATCTCCAAATTATTTGGCCAGTTTTTTGCAACATAGAAATGAATATCATAGGGTTTCTTATCCCAATCTGTATCATGAGCTACTGCTACTTTAGGATCATCAGGACACTGCTTTCCTGCAAAAATCATAAAAAAACTAGAGCTATCAGGTTGATTTTAGTGGTGGTGATTGTGTTTTTCCTCTTCTGGACCCCATACAATGTACTGATTTTTCTAGACACTTTAAAGAACTATTTCAACTTCTTTGCAAAATGTGACCATTCAATATTTTTAGACTATGCCATGCATGCAACTGAAACCTTAGCATTCAGTCACTGCTGTCTCAATCCAGTTATCTATGCTTTTGCTGGTGAAAAATTCAGGAAATATCTTTGCTCATTATGCCTAAAGTGCTGTTCTTTCATTTGCTTCTGTGGGCCCCGCAGCCGGTGCCAAGCTGGCCCTTCACATATCTCTCCAGAGAGTATTCCAAGCAGTAACCAGACCCAGATTACCAGCGATCCAGATGCCTTGCTTGTTCTGTGAAGGACTTTGTTGAAAGGTAAATATGTCTTTGATAGAGGTTATCATTCAGGCACTCAGGTTTAGCATGTGAAAGTACTTGAGGTTGCCACTGATCTACAAGCATTTCTTTCCCTAAGCATTCATTATTTTAAAACAATGTGTCAAAATCTTAATGGCACAATAAAATAATGGATGGGATCTGAATTCTGAGGGGAAAATGGAGAGAAAAACAGCGACTTGTGCAAGGAATAGAAAGAAAAAAATAGGAATAGATAATATGATAGCAATTCATACATGAAAAGACTGTGTACACATACATTCAGGTGCATGTATATAACTATGTCTGTATACACAAACCTCTTGTAAGGAAAGTGAACTGTCCAATGGATAGATAGTAGTGAAAAATATCTGATATACAGCCCATTGGTTTTCTCTTGGAGTACAGCATGAGCACTGGAACACTTTATTGTTTCAGTTTTGGAGACAGTAGCATGTTCTTTTTTACAAGTGTCTATATATCTCATCTGTATGTGGTATGAAACAACAGCCTGTTCTTACATGACGGGTCAAACCTGGTTTAAGTGTTATGTAATAATCAAATGGGAGTGATTTTTGCATTTATGGATTACCTCTTGCTGATCGATACAACTGCTTTATTTGTTAACATTTACCTAATAAAAGGCCTATTAAAAACATGTCCTTTCTATTATTTGGTTAGTGCCAACAATCTGTTTAGCATTGGCCAACATGCAAAAATGAGGATGATGTCCACTTCTAAGCCCATTAAATCTGTCCAAAGCCCACTAAAACCAAATAATCTTCCTACTATCGATTTCATTATGCTGTAGATCAGGCACATAGAACCTTGAGACACATGCTTTATCCCTTTCCTGAACTTAGGCCTAACAGGTGAACACACAAATGACAGGACACATTTGGAAACCTAGAAGTGAGAATAAAATAGATTGTTTTGTTTTGTTTTGTTCAATACATCATTGTCAGTTCAGTTATAAGCTCACTTTCTGAGTTCGTACCAAATATTCATGGCTAGACTAAATAAACAATGTGCATTTAAACATATGGTTCTGAAACATAACAATTTATTTGGATATCTGCTAAACACAAGTGTGCAAAATGTATCAGTTGAAGTAAAAATAGTATGTCAGTATATGTAACAAGGAGTGCATCTGCACATGCAAATAAGTGTAACTATATTTAATGCACATTAAGCAATTTTTGGCAGGTATCTACACATGCAGGAACTTAGCACTAAAGTTAGTTCCAAGTCCCTCCAATCTTTCTATGTGCCCCTGTGGCCACCCAGGGGAGCTCCAGCCTCCAGCCACATGGCTGCCAGCATTTGGCAGTCATATTGAAGCCAGAGTCAGCTTTCAGCACCTGGCAGCCATTTGGGAAACTCTGATCCCTGGCCAGCCCCTTCCCTGCCCAGGAGCCATGTACCCAGTGCAGGGGCTCTCTCTTTGCCCACCCTGCCTCCCCACACCAGAGCTGCTCCAGCCCC